GTTTATTTTCAAAAACATGCCTTAGCCTTAGCTTTGGGTTACTGAACCCTAAAGCTCAACTATGAGCCAGAACACCAAGGTTCTGGGCTTGGCCCAGGGACTTTCTTATTGTGTGACTTTCGACTGGCTCTAATGCCACCTACAAAACGGCAACAAGATTTATTTCAGGCCAGAAGCAGGTTGAGGACCTACAAGGGGAATGTATGGGGCTTTTTATTTCCTACAAGACTGCTACCTCTTTTTTGTGACATCTCACACAAAAATATTTGGAAGTTGAATTCCAGAAAGTCCCAAATTAGCCTTAAGGAAACTGAGGGACAATACATTCACAAATCTGCACAGCACTATAAAACATAATTTTGTGACAGTTAAGAAGGGTTCAGAGCTTAGCTTTTTTTCAGGCTCCAGGATGAAAACAATGACCCAAACCACTTCATTCAATATTGCAACCTGAAGGGTGGGGCTACACGTGGTCACTGACTTCAGAAGCATTACCACCATGCCAGCTTATTTACAACTGCAGAAGTGATAGGAATGGATTGCTGATCTGTGGCAATGTCTGGCAATCTGGAATGAAGTTTGATAAAGGTGATTTACAGACCAGTAACTCTACACTGGAGGCAAAAGCTAGCACTACTTCCCCTAAATACTCCTAACCCAGATACAGACAGTAGTCATTAGCAACAAGCAGTATTAATTAGCAACTGAGATGCTCACTCCTTAATATGGAGGAAGATTTTGGATTCAGGTGAGATATCTGGCACTTAAGATTCAGTTTGGGAAGAACCTTCTGTACAGACTGCAATTACATGGTCCTCAATAAGTCATTCTTTGGGCCTCAGTTTCATCATCTATAAAATGGGCCAGAGGGACAGAGAGGAAGGGTGCATCCAATCTGACAATCCAGTATATTATTCTATACCTACCGAAACTGAAAAAGAAGACCAGAGAAGCCTGTGTCTCTTAAGGATCAGGAAAGCATTTTTCTTAGGCCTATCAAATAGATAGAAAACACTGAGCCACTTCTCTCAGAGAGTTTTGTAATTAGATGGGGTTCATAATGCATCTCCGAACAAGAGAAAATGGAGCTTCTGATTGTATCAGTTTGATAACCGTAAGCAGTTCACAGTAAGGTAAGAAGGTGCATTTTGGCGGAAGCCAGCATTGCATTTGATGTATTCTTAACTCGGCTAACAGGCAGGTTTTCAAGCCATGTTATCTGCCCCCGCATCTTGACCTAATTTAACAAGTTGCCATGGGAGCCCAGGGAAGGTTGATGCAATTTTCTTATCTTTGGAGGAAGAATGTAACTGTGCAAGAGAATGTGAAAATTCAGTTTCTAACTGATTTCCACACTTACAGTGCAGTGACTAAGACATCATATGAAGAAGTAAAATGTACTCCTTTGAAGGTGAGATGGCTAAAGACTTAGGCTCCTAGTGTAATGGCAGGAAAACGATTCCCTTCACACCTCAGACAATCTCTGCACACACTCTTCACTTCAGGCCAAGGACCAGCGATGTGAAGGTAAAGTGCTCTACTCTGTAGCCACACATGTTCTGGTGTGATGGAGTTTTTAGGGAACAGACAAAAAAAAGAGGGCAGAACTTGAGATAGAAAATAGGTGTAAGTTTTAGACGCAACAAAGTTTTGCAACACTTAGGCAATTATATCTACTTTCCAAAGTCTTTTTCCCAACTGCAGCTTATCTTAACATGTCTGCATGAAGTCAGAGATGCATTTATAAGAACTCCAGCCACCACATGCACTTGGGTGGCAGAGCAGAGGGGGCCGGATACGTATGCTTCATCCCCTCCCCCTTCCTAGGTATGCACCTGAAATGTTAAGGGGCCACAGTGAGGGTGTGCAAGCAAGGGAAGCACCACACAGAATCAGTTTGCAGAGTGGGCAGGAGATACTCACCAGGCACTGAGCACAGGAAAAAAGCCACTAAAATTTGGGGTGCACCCCACCTGCCTGACAAATCCTGACCTTCATTCAGACCACAGCCACAAGAAAATCCAGGTCAAATCTAAGGACAATTATAAGATCTTGAACTTGACAAGACAGTGCATCCTAAGGGCTACTAGCACTTATCTGCACTCAGCACGTGCTGGGAAACATTTGCTGAAATGATTGATTTCTTGCAATTGAGCTTTCCCCCCCTGTGTCTAGCATGATGTCTAGCACTCATTTGTTTAATTAATTGATTCAGTTCAATTACATTTTCACACATCTCCTACCACCAAGATAAGGATGAACACTTCTACTTCACTAAAAGTAGCAAAGGGTACAAGAGAAATTTGCCTAAAATCACCCAGTGTGTTGGAGCTGGGAGGTAGCAGAGGGGACTTCTGTTTTTCTGGGCTATATTGTTCTCACCAGCATTTGAGAGAATATGAAAAGTTAGACCCCATTTATAAGGGAGAAACCACCGAGCGGTGAGATGATTAAAAAATGGCGTTTAATTCAAATTACTTTAGTCTTTGAGACCTTTGAGGGTTGCCCTCCCTTTTCTTCTACTCATTGAATGTTTCTCTTAGAAAGAGAGAGAAAGAGGGAGGGACGGAGGGAGGGAGGGAGGGGAGGGGAGGAATGTTTTAAAGAGCGCCTATTAAAAACAATAAAGGGTAACATCACTATAACTCAGACCTCCAGGACATACTTGTACTTGAGCTGGAAAGAGCTTTGGATACACTTGTGTCTGGCTCTGAGTTGGCATTACCAGAGAAGACTTAGAGGCAGCATTTTGATTTTGGCTACCTTGATGGCACTTCATGTCCCTAATTTTTGCTTCACACTCATTGCTCGATTTTAGACCTTCCAATTCATCCCTTTCCTTCTATCCTCGAAACTGGGATGCTTGGAATTATTCCTCAACTCTCAAATAATTCTTGGCACGGTATCCTCTGAGCCAAAATCCTTTGGGTCACTCTCATAGACTCCTAGCTATGCAGGCTTCTCCCACATGGGAAATCCAGTAACTCACACATGTCATACTCTCAGAGGAGTTTATTTCGGAGGTGGTGGTCAGGCCTTCACCATTTCTAGAACTTCCAGACCTTTTATGGTATAGCCACGGATCCTTACCAGAATCTTACCCCATGAAGGCTGACCTCAACTGTAAGGCTTTCTTTGGCCATAACCCAAACTTTAGAATTTAAAAGTCAGGTTACTTAATCTCATTATCTACAAAAGTGCCCTAACTAGCAGTTTTCAGAATCACATACCTAACTAGGAGAGAAGGATGAAAACTGTCTTGGAAGAATTATGATCAAAGATGCTGATGGTGGTTATATGGTGATTCCCCTTAATACAGGGACACTAAGTGAAGGACTTGATACTGGAAGGTAGGGTAGAGGAGAAGGTAGGGACATGGCCATTGTACAGGGACAAATGACAGAGCCAAATTATCCCTGTGCCACAGAGTGGAAGCAAGCACAGCCAGGTATGTGGGTTGCCCCTCCAAAGCCACAGTCCTTTCAGAGCTCCAAGCCTTCCCTTTCTCTTCCTAATAAAGCAGCACTCTCCCCCACTTCATCCGTGTAGCAACTGGAGTCTAGTTCTTAAAACACTTAGGAGCTGTAATGCAGGAGCCAGACTCTGGCACATCTCGAAATAGACTTAATACAGTTTTCTTCATCTGGATGTCATGCATGGAAATGGCCAACTTTCTAATAGTCTGCTATCCGGAGAGGGTGAAGGACTCCCCAGAAAAGTAGCAAATTCCCTCACACCAGTACATTCAAGCAAAGACTTCGGGGGCTAGTGTAGAAAGAACAGAGCAGAGGGCCTTTAAGTTCCCTTCCAGCACATGGCTTTATATATAGCCCTACTTCGAAACAAAGACATAACTCCTGAGCACCTATTCCTGCAATGAACTGCTAGGAGCTATGTGGAATGCAACATAAAAGACATGCTCCAGATCATGGAAGGAGAAGTAATTTTTCTAAGCATTGGAGTTAGGACTCAAAAGGTCAGCTAGTTTTCTTGGTACAAACCTGAGACTTCATGGATGCAAGAGTAAGGGTATTGCGTGTTTTTATGATCAGACATACAGCTTAACAGAAACACAGACTGTGTTGTTTGTCTCCACCTACACAAAGGGGCCCTGCATGGTAACAAGTCCAAGGTGGACTAAATTATAAGAGCGTAGAGGCCTAGACCACAGCTGAGCAATCAAAGCTTAAAACAAGCTCCACCTACAACACAATGTCTAATTTTTAGGAATCACTACAATTGTACAGAAAGAATCCAATCATTAACACATTAGGGACCCCTGGATATTTTTCAGATATACTCTTCAAACATTTCCAAGGTTAGGCAGCTTATATGCTACCACTCACTTGGGACAATGAATTGTTTTGCTCTATTACCAGATTCTCAATTAAAGCCCCATGCTCTCAACATACACCTTCCTTCCTCTATATTTCTGTATTCACCACTACCATAACTTTCACCAGAAGAAAATCAATACTAAAGCTACAAGTGAAAAAAAGGGTTTCCCAGATAGGCCAGGATCTGGAGTTCGGGTAACGAGGGTGCTGTTCCCACTGAAGAACTGCCCCATGAGCGTGCTGCCACTGAAGAGGCTCGGGGGGAGCCCATTCAATGACGCCTTTGAGATGCTGTTGCTGGTTTGGTTTAGAAAGACCTCCCAAGAGCAGGCTAAGAAAAGTCCCTTGATGCTAGGCTACTAGGCAGTTCCCAGAAACACCAAATCAATATAGTTCCCTTCCCCCAGATGTGGAAAAAGTTCCAAACTATGTTTTTCCTACCACTCTTGGAAATGATGCCCTGGGATAGAAGGATACTGTTTGCTTCCAAAACTCAATGGCTATTCACAGAGTGGCTTGAGGGCCTGACCAGACCTCTTAGAGTCTGCTTCTCCCCACGCTCCCCAAAAAGAAAGAGGCTAGGAATATGCACACCGTGCCTTCCGCTGAGCCCACCCACAGCAACGCGCACAGAGGCTGTGGAGGTGCCAGGAGGGCGCCTACCTGTGTAGCCAGCCAGGGCAGCAGCAGGAATGACAGGCTTGTCCTTGTTGAGGTCAGCACGGTCACGCACATAGTCCTTGAAGGTGCCCTTGGGCTTGTGGTTGGGCAGGGCGGTGGGATAGTCCTCTGAGTCGAAGCTGTCATAGGAGGGAACTCGCTGCAGGCTGTTGAAAGATGACTGGCTGCTCCAGGACTGCGTGAGGCGGTCACAACTATCGTAGCTCTCTATGCTCTCAAAAGAGTCCTGGCCCCCGAGCTTACCTGGAGGTAAAGGAGGAGGTGGGAAGAGGGCAGAGGAGGAGGGATCAGGAAAAGACAACTGTGAAAACCCTCTTAGTGAGGTCGGGCTGCTCATCAGATCCACAGGAGGGGTGGAAGAAGGGAGAGGGCAAAGGGCATGGAAGCTTCTGGGGAAAGGGATGCTGGGGTGCGAGCTGAGGGCCCAGTGCCACTGCCTTGTCTTGTCATATGGCATCTAGAACAGAGATTTGAGTTGAGCACGGCTCCTGTCTATCAGAGGGAGACACCAGTATTTGGGACCTAAAGAATTCTAGAGCCAGAAAACTAAAGGCTGGGAATCGTATACGTTATTAAAGACTTTCTGGCTGATGTGTTAGACCCCATGAATAGAGGAAGAAATCAGAGCAGTGTCAGGCTCCATCCCCCATTCCAAGTCAGCTTATAAGATGATTTCAAAAGGGCCAATTTGGCAAAATGTTTTGGTTTTAAGAAAAAAAAATTCCATTAGACTAAGAGCAGATTGACCTTCCTTGACCTTGGAACCAAAGTGATATTTTTTAGCATTTTTTCCAAATACTATTTTTAAATGAAATACATGCACTGCCTTCTATGCCTTTTCAAATAAAAAAAGAAGTATGATGCCTTTTCCAGGAGATTAAAAAAAAATGCTAGCACTCTTCCAACACAGAAATCCATGTTCTTTATCTTCTCCAACTACAATTTTGCCCTCAAAATTTTTACTTCATTGTGGAAGGGTGGGCAATTAAAAACAAGGGGGTTGATTAAAGAGTTAAGGCCCCACTAAATAGCAGTGTCAGAAATCCTTTACTCTTTGAGTTGCTTAAGGCATTCATAACTGACCACAAGATCATGCAAGTTCATTAATTTCCCAAACCAGGTTATAAACAGCTGCTATGATTGCATAAGAGCTCCTAGAGAAATTTCCACTGGCAAAAATGCCATTAAAAAGGAGACAACAAAAAAGCTCTTTTTTGAGTAAAATAAGTACATCCAAGAGCTGAAAAGGTTCAGAGGGATATTTCCTCTGTACTAGTTTTAGATACTTTTCAGGTAACATCATTTAAATCATGGGAGACTAAATAGCCACTTCAATTCAGCACAAGTCAAGAGGCAAAAGGTGTATAGAGAAATACCTGTAAGTCACTCTGAATTGTTCGAGGATAGCTGATCTACTATAAAGTTTAAATTTCACAGGGAGGTTGGCCTACCCAACCGAATACTAGTGTTTCTGGTGTAGTCTCCTCTTAGGGTTGGTTAAAACAACGAAATTCAAATGTTTCATTGTAGTGTCCAACCCAAAAATTAAACACATAGTAATTAGGAAGATACGTTGCTCCCAAAATTCTTTTTAAATATACATATATATCAGATTAAAGGTATTAAATAAATAATTTTTGTAAAATCCACATTCGGAGACTCTCTGATCCTCTTACCCTTCCAATACTGTGTATAACAGAAAGGTAGTTAATTGAAGAGCTTCATGGAGTCATCGGCCACTCCACTGTCACACTTGTAACCCTCCATTATTATTAAAAATGAAGGAATTGTCCCTCTCAGAACTTCACATTAAAAAACTCAAGAAAATAGCCCACAACCAGAATGCCACAGCCTCTTTTTAACAGAACAGGAAATTTTGTGCATCTCATAAAAAGGTGTTTACCAGCTATCCCACTTAATTAATGGTCCTTCAGTTTCTCTGTGAGGCAAACCCACCGAGACCCTTAGCAAGAGAATTTATATTTTCATGAAGAAAACTCCACCAAGTCACTGAGATTTAAGCAGTGTTTAGGCGTTTGTCTCTGAAAGGACTCTACCAGTGATTTTTGTACTTGGAGGGCATGGGGACTGTAATTTCCACAAGCAAGATAGCTGAGTTTCCAAGAGTCGCAGTGAGCCCTGAACTGGGCCAGAACCACCCTGGCAGCCTCCCAGTCATGAGCCAAATGCACTCTGCTGAGAATTGCGGTTTGTAGCAGTAGGCTGCTTTCATTTTAGCTCGATTTCACAATCCTGGAGCTGGGAACCTTCATTTACGGGTATTTTCTCCAAAAATGGGTTACGTCCAACTGGATCAGGCACTGAGTTATGCTACTGTGCTCATGCAGAGAAGCATGTATCCTCTAAGACATCCACTGGCCAGCTTTGCTGAAAAGTGTCTCAGGAAGGTCCTTCCAAAACTATTTGACTCCACCAAACAGACCTCAGAGCACTCAGACAGCAGATGGGGTAGCCCCACAGCAACCCGCTGAACAGACTAGCACAAAGAGAGTTCTCAGAGTCCAGATACGGGGGACATAGAAGCACTCTGTATACCACCATGCAGCATGTGAATACCAGAGTGATTAATAATAATCAGCCGACAGTAATGCTTTTAGTCTAGACCAGTCATGCCATGTCAGATTTAATCAGCCCTTTGGATACATCCTGTTTGCAGCAATTCTAACATGCAAAAAGCAGCTGTGAACAAAATGGTCTTCCCCGAAGTCTGTGTGGTCTGAAGCTTGATGTGAGGGAGGGAGAAGAAGGCCAGAGAGAAATATTGCACATCCCTTTGTACGAGTCACTATCTGGTCCATAGTCATTAACTGGGGACTGGAGAGGCAGTGGAGACCAAAACCAAGCACCACGAGCGGGAGAGGGAGAAGGAACAATCACACAAATGCAAAGCCAGACGCAACTGAAAAACAATGTGACAGAAGATCTACCCAAAGTTACGACATGGCTGCGCCCCAAGCCACAGACTCGGCCTCATCTCATGTATGCACAGCAAGCCCCACGAGAAGGAAAGTTGTTCTTTTGCTTTGACCTGCCTGAGCAAAAAGATCCACATACACATGTGTGTATGTATTTAAATAGACATGCCTCCAAAAATAAAAAGAGTCAGAAAGGGGAAGACAAAACTGGTCCCACCCATCCCCTTCAGTCTGAAACACAAACAGCCAGGGGCCCTAAGAAGGAAGACTGAAGGTTCAGATCTTGCTCGGGACTTTCCCTGTGCAGGGCCTGCTGGTTACCCTAAGGCCTGCTGGGAGGAAGTGGGAGCCCGAACACTCCAGGATGACGATGTGTGTGGCCCATGATGCCTACCGAGTGATCCTCCAGAGCACAGATGCCTTTGGGCTCCCCGGGGAGCCTCAGACCAGGCAGTCGGGTCACTGAGCAGAAGTCACTAGGAGACCCGCCAGGCCTGACTTCTGGACCAAATCCCTCCACACAGCTCCTAGATGGGCTCTCCCCTGTTCCTCTTCCTGTCCGTAATTCTTTCGCATTTATCTAGGAGAACAGTCACCTTCCTCAACTTTTTAGAAGCCAGTGAGTTCTTCCTGGATGAACAAATTTCTCCTTATAATGGACTGCACTTTTCTCAGAAACTAAAAAATTGGGACACTTTACTAGGAGGGCTGGGCCTCTGAGTGCTTATGTCCTGAACTTAAAAATTGGGTGTCCCCAACTTTTTTCATGTTGTAAAGTCAGCCAGCTCTATTCTGAAGCATTCATTTCACTGTCTGAATAGTTTGTCACTGTCATGGTAGCCCTGTCAACAAGAGTACCTTCTTTTGGAAGCCTCTGGCCACCTCTTTCCCTGATCCTCTGGTTAAATACACACTTTCACCACACTGCTGATGACCAGTTCCAAATAAACCATTGGTTAACCATCTTATATCTTCCCAAACCAAAGAAGTGACAGGAGGCCAGACAGCCCAGGCTGAGAAGCACAGGTCATTCAGCTACCGTGCCAGGGCCTGCCGTCTGACCAGAAATACTCTGAGAGGGGACCACCAGGAGTCATGCTAAGCAAAGGGCTTTCCGGGAGGGTCACCTGAGCCGTCTTTATTTGATTGTGTCCTCCTTAAGCAAAATCCTCTCAAAGGAAATACAGCAAACCTTTAAACATAACCATTTTCAACTCAAGTAACTATTTGGTAAAATGTTTTACCCAAATAAGAAATGTGATTGATCGTCCTGCCTGATGTCAGTCTTGGTCATCAGGATGGACATGGCTAAAATTCCATGATGGGAAGGAAGTTGTCAGTACCTAGACATCCTAAGATGGAAGAGCTGAACATCCAGGAACGCACAGGGCCCACAGTGAGAAAAAAAATACATGGGACCAGAAAAACTCACAAGGTTAGGTAATTCTTGGAAAGCCAAGAGCTTCTAGAGAAGAAATCTGACCTACCACGACTGGTCCTCCCCATGCACATGTTGTCGGGGGTGACGACTTCTTGTTTGATAGCAAAGTAGTCAGTCTGCAAGGTGTCTGTCTGCAGAGGGTCCCGGAGAATGACGGAGGGGTAGTCGTTCTCATACTTGAGGGATAGGAGTTCCTCCGAGCTGATGGGGTGGAGCGTCTGGTAGGACTCTGTGATGAAACTGGGCTCTGAGAACTCCGAGGGGGGAACACACTGGGCGTGCTCGATACCATAGCCTGCAACAAACAGTGTGAGCAGTTGGAGAAAGGACACATTTGTACCTAAAACAAGCAGCTCGTCCCCACTCACACTGGCCCTGCGATGTGAAGCAAGCTGCCTACCTTTGAGAGAATGAATGGGAAACATTTTAAGTCAGAAGGGCCTGGGTATTTAACCTTACCCCATGACTTAATAGCTATAGCCCTTGACAACATACTTCCCTTTTCTGACTTGATTTCCTCATCTCTAAAATCAGGCTGACTGCAGTCTTCATCAGAGTGGTATGATGAAGATCCAACCAGAGCATATATGTAAAATGTCCAGCATTGTGGCACACGGGAACCTCTTGCAACACAGCAGTTAATGTTGTTGTTCCACTCAAAATCATAATCATGTAAAAAGATAGAACGGAAACAAATCTGCTTAAGACTCCCTTTGAAAAGCAAGGCCATCAGATAAGAACAGCCCTACCCTAGTCCTCTTCCTCCAGCCACCTCTCTAGTACAGTTTGACATCACACGCTGAAAGGGAGAAGCCTTTATTTTCTGTGACACAATCTAAGGCTGCATGGCACGCTCCTGAGGAAGGATTTCAGCAGAAGTGCAGTCGCACCTACTAGTAAAAGGGACAGAGCAATGAGGGCCACAACCATATCCCTGACCCAAATGTCTGACGGCCATCCCAGTACACAGGATCAAACAGGATCAAAGCTGAGGGGTCACACTGTAGTCTCCCCTTGGTACTTTCATGATGAAGCCATCAGAGGAATCCTAGTGTGTATGAGCTTGTAGGTTAATCAGACATAATTTGTGCAAATAACAAAATAAATAGCAAAGGGTCTCCATTTAAGAAAATATTAGTATCTGTAAAAATTGCCACGAAGTCGTCCGAGATCAACTGGGACAGGGGTCCTTGCTAAGTTCCCTTTATAATGGTCAAGGTGAAGGCAGAAAAGAGGGAGATGGACTTACTAATGAAGTAATCCGAGGTATAACGGGATTCTGGATAGGTAGGGTTGATTCCATTCACTTGATAAGGTTTCACATCCTCTGCAACAGACAGGGTAGGCAACCCAACAAAGAGGTCAACACATAAGTAACGCTTGTGGCTGAAAAGGATCTTGAATGCAAGGACCGTGATGATCTCAGCCCCTCTTCTAAGAAAGAGTTGGTGTCTGAATCTACTCTGACTGGGGCCTTGTCTAAAGATGAGATCACAAAAAATATGGCTAAATTTATTATTTCAGTAGCTATGAAATGGAATTTCATATCTTGGAAAGTGCACCTGGGAGTAATAATCCCCCAGGGCTAGAAAGGCTTCCCACCATCACTCAGATGCACGGATACTACACAGGCATCTAAGGCCTGGCAACACTTGGGAAGTCACCAAAATCAGTCCCCAGCACTCCAGCTGATCAGTTACAAAACTTGAGTTCCAAACCGATCGCTTCCAAAACATAACGTATTCAGAAATATGTTAACGATCTCTTTAGGCAGGTAGATTTTAGAGCCTCCACTTCTTCTAACAGATGTTTGGTTTGTGTTATTTTTCCCATTGCCCTCAGATTTCAAGTTCGAGCCCAGATAAGAAGCAGTACACTGGTTAGGTGATTCTATTTGGTGAAATATGGCAGGGCTGCTACAGAGAAAGAGACGAGCAATGAAACCTAACGGCTGCCAGGTGCCAACTTCCTCAGGAATGAGAAAGGAATGTAGAGGAAGGTAAATAAGCATAGAAACACTCCCCACTGAACTAAGGTGAGCTTGAGGATCCTCTAATTACACTGCAATCAGATGGTGTGGCCTCTGATCATGGTATGGAGGGGTCTGATTATATTTCACTCTAAGAATCAGACATGAAAAGAGAGTCCTGGTTTGGGTCTGTCCTCAGGTATTTGAGAGCATGTTGGGAGCACAGGCTGCTGGGAAAACAAGTTTATGCCTGTACAGACAAACAGTTCCAGTTGTGAAAAAAGAAGATTAAACTTTGCTTTAGTAACTTATCAGATTGAAACATCCCCTGCACCTTTGGTCTCCCACCCCACCCCAAATAGCTATGTCCTTTCGGTGCTTGTGTTGCTCTCGTTTACTTACAGAACAAAAGCTGTAGCCTCAATACAAACATCTTGCTCAGATCTTCAAGAATCTCAAGAGAAATGACTCTTACTACCTCTCTCAAATGGAAATAGGTGGGATGACAGGATTTCAGTTCTCAACCAGACTCCATTATTTCCTAGTACTCCTGAATTGGCTTAAACTGTGCCTTTGCAGGAATATAGGCCAACCCTGTCTTCGGGGCCCAGAAGCTCCCCCATGAGTCCATGTTATTACACAAAGAACAAAGGGCAGGAAGTTAAATTGTAAAGACTAGGTTTAAGGAAATGAGTGATGCTGAGGGAACTATCTACCCGGTCCCATTTTACATATGAGGACACTAACAGGGCATGCCCTTCCCATTTCCCGGGGTTGTTTTGAGAATCCAAAGAGAAAATGTATTTGAAAGCACTTTGTCAACAAGGAGGTGTTATGTAGATATTAATTACCACTACAATCAGAGGCAGGCTCAGTCACTCCAGAACACCTGGGCCACTCCACGTGGTCCAGGGCAACACATTAACAGAATGTGTTTGGGTAGCATGGTCTGGTAGAATCCACTGTTGTGTTTATAAGCCAACAGTTACATCCAATCTGTCATGAGCCTGCCATATCTTCTCCCTCTGTAAACAGGTCGCTCATGTCAACACGTACGAGTGGGCGTGCAGTTACCCAGAGAACATGCAGGTGCTTGGGGGCAGCCTATGCAGCTGCCCCACAATCCCGGGCAACAGCAGCCGCTGTGAGATTCACCTAGTTCTTGACTGTTGGTTTATTTATTTTTCAGCAGAAGCTCATGAGAAGGAAGAAAGATAACACTTCTGTACCCAGAGGAATCTAATTTGGGTCTCTCTTGAGCATTGCAAAGTGGAAAATATCCTTGAACAAAGGAAAGTATTATATGGAGTAAAAGTGCTAATCGTGAGCTGTGCTCCCTGCCCCCAGCATCTGTGCCAACACTTGGAGCTGGTGACCACAGAGAAAGGGTGGGCCTGGGTCAGGGAGGGCAGCAGGCTTCTAGGCTTACAGTCAGCTGGAGGGCACTGCGGACTGCTGGTAACTGCAATTTATTTTAAGAAAAAATACAGAAAAATACGCACAAAAACACCCAAGTTTGCCGCCTGCTGCTGTTTCTATACTCAGCCAGGACTGTGGTACGTGAGTCACTTGGTCCAAAAAGGTTGGAAGAGGCTGGCAGGGGAGGTCATGTCACTACAAGTTTGCAACACATGGTGCCCTGACATAACCCTAGTTTCTGTCCCAGATGAAAAAGGTGCTCCACACTCGTGCAATTCCAACCCAGTGGGCAGAGAAGCCCGTCTTATTAATAAGTTCTGAGAAACTAAGCTCTGTTGTAGATGCAGCCAGGTACCACACTGCCATGGATCAAGGGAGTGGGTATTAAGTTTGCCAGAAACAAAACCAAACAACAAACTATCTTGTTGCTGGCTATGGGCCCTGTCTTATTCAAAGCGTGCGTGAGTCTAAGATAAAGATTGGGATCAGAATTTTGCATCCCAAGAAGCTTCAGAAATACAACCTTGCTGAAGATTAAAATTTAAAACTCCAAAACATAAAGAGAAAGAAACTAGCATTTATGGAGCACCTGGTGAACACATGTCTCCACAAGCCACATATGCTGTGATAGGACACCCCCAGACAATAGCATCGATGTCCCACAGCAGAGCACGTCCCCCACCTACTCTCCCAGCAACTCCACACAAGTGTCCACCTCACTCTAGCCCACACATTTACCTTTCTGCAGGATCTCAAGATGTTCCCACAGGATGTCCCCAACGAAGTCCGGGGCCAGTTCGAGAAAGCAATCTTTCCCCAGGGCACAAAGGGCTGCTCCGTTCATACAGAACTTCTGGAAGTCCACACCCTTCAGGCTGAACTCATTCACAGCCCACATCACCCAGTCCCGAACGTGGGTTTCTGTCCACTGCCGGGGGTCTGAGGGGAGAGATCAGATGAAGAGCCAGAGTTGGTTTATTTATTTTTCAGCAGAAGCTCATGAGAAGGAAGAAAGATAACACTTCTGTACCCAGAGGAATCTAATTTGGGTCTCTCTTGAGCATTGCAAAGTGGAAAATATCCTTGAACAAAGGAAAGTATTATATGGAGTAAAAGTGCTAATCGTGAGCTGTGCTCCCTGCCCCCAGCATCTGCGCCAACACTTGGAGCTGGTGACCACAGAGAAAGGGTGGGCCTGGGTCAGGGAGGGCAGCAGGCTTCTAGGCTTACAGTCAGCTGGAGGGCACTGCGGACTGCTGGTAACTGCAATTTATTTTAAGAAAAAATACAGAAAAATACGCACAAAAACACCCAAGTTTGCCGCCTGCTGCTGTTTCTATACTCAGCCAGGACTGTGGTACGTGAGTCACTTGGTCCAAAAAGGTTGGAAGAGGCTGGCAGGGGAGGTCATGTCACTACAAGTTTGCAACACATGGTGCCCTGACATAACCCTAGTTTCTGTCCCAGATGAAAAAGGTGCTCCACACTCGTGCAATTCCAACCCAGTGGGCAGAGAAGCCCGTCTTATTAATAAGTTCTGAGAAACTAAGCTCTGTTGTAGATGCAGCCAGGTACCACACTGCCATGGATCAAGGGAGTGGGTATTAAGTTTGCCAGAAACAAAACCAAACAACAAACTATCTTGTTGCTGGCTATGGGCCCTGTCTTATTCAAAGCGTGCGTGAGTCTAAGATAAAGATTGGGATCAGAATTTTGCATCCCAAGAAGCTTCAGAAATACAACCTTGCTGAAGATTAAAATTTAAAACTCCAAAACATAAAGAGAAAGAAACTAGCATTTATGGAGCACCTGGTGAACACATGTCTCCACAAGCCACATATGCTGTGATAGGACACCCCCAGACAATAGCATCGATGTCCCACAGCAGAGCACGTCCCCCACCTACTCTCCCAGCAACTCCACACAAGTGTCCACCTCACTCTAGCCCACACATTTACCTTTCTGCAGGATCTCAAGATGTTCCCACAGGATGTCCCCAACGAAGTCCGGGGCCAGTTCGAGAAAGCAATCTTTCCCCAGGGCACAAAGGGCTGCTCCGTTCATACAGAACTTCTGGAAGTCCACACCCTTCAGGCTGAACTCATTCACAGCCCACATCACCCAGTCCCGAACGTGGGTTTCTGTCCACTGCCGGGGGTCTGAGGGGAGAGATCAGATGAAGAGCCAGCAGGTGAGCCTCCTAACTTCCACCCGAGCCTCAGACACCACACCGAAGGATCTGAACTTCACCAAGGATGTTCTCCGACTTACAGAGGTAGGAGGCACCAGCCTATAAATGCGTGCCACGGGGCCCTTGCATAGCCTTCTCCCCGCACTCAACATCCCCACATTCTCTATCTTGCCGGCTAGGAGATCACTATCATCAGCCAAAAAGTAACCCATGAGTTTCTCTACCCTCCATTCAGACAAAGTTCCCATGAATTTCTTCTCTCGCTGCCTTATTTCCATTAGACCTTTTTTTTTAAAGCCTGGGACAAGAGAATAAATGACTTCTTTAACAGCAATAATAACAAAGTCAAGCATGTTCTAGAGATTGCACTCACCCCTCCCACTCTTAACTTGTAATTTACTTGAGACCATTATTCTTAATTATTTTTATCTGAGCTAATTATGGTTTAATAATCATAGCAATTAGCAAAAGTCATTCAAATGGCACTTAGTAATAACAACATTATCAGGTGCCTCTATTTATTACACCAGATGTCATGTAAAGTATACACGTCTCACAAGCCCGCAATGAGTAGCTCTGAAGAACAGACATACTCTCCAAGTGTGGTCCAAAGTTTAATGTGGTTACACTAGCCAATGACATTTATAAAGCTCAGATGATGGCAGGTTGTGGTGCCTACAATACACCTGCTCTCAAGGTTACCCCTTCAACCTAGCAGATGACTTTGTGAGATGTGGGAAAATCCAGGTGCCAGAATTCATTTTATTCTGCCTTGAGACCCTAAAAGCATGTTGGGCACTGCTGTCAGCTGAGGGGCGTGGCAGGTAGCATACCTGGGAAAAGGGTTACAGCTACATTCAGTCTCTATCGAAGGCTTCAGTCAATGAGGGCTGGAAGCATCTTATGTAGCAATCTAAAGACTGGCCTGGTCTGAAGGCAGCATTACTCTTACTCAGTAGAAAAGGGTTATTTCTGCTCTCACTTGTTCAGGAAACGGCACTTGGTAAAGGCCAGTGTTCTCCAGGCATTTCTCCTTTCTGACAACTCTAGTCTCTGAACAAACCCTTTTAGGTGAGAACACCCAAGTATGAACCCATTTCACCAAAGCACATGGGAGAAAAAGAACCATCAGTAAATTCCAAGAAAAGTAGCTCGCTGAGTTCATCCAACAGTGGCCTAGATGGACTCTAAGACCATGGTTTTCCTAACTTGTCTGTACTTTGGAATCCCTTGAAGAGTTTCAAAACAACTGATGCTACCAGTAATTGTGACTGAATTGGTCTGGGATATGGCCTGAGTTGTGGAATTTTTTAAAGATCCTGAATTTAATGTGCAAACAAGTTTGGGAACCACCGCCCTAAGAATAAGCTGGTGGCGACAAACCTGGGAGACAGAGAAGCATTAGCAGGTGTCTAGGACTGTTCTGAGAGACGTCTGCAACAACTTGTGACTGCTGACTAAAGTGTGCTTAATATAATGTCTATCTCACACTACAGGTCCAGAGAAAACTAACGGGGCCTAATAGTCCAACCCCATCCTCTCCAGCTACAAAACATACCTTTTGGAATTCCCAGTCGTTGCTGCTCTTTAGAGAAACCACTGAAAGTAGCTTTCAGTGCTTGAGACATCATCTCCTTGCTGCTTGGAGTTAAGAGTGGGACATCAGCACATTCCATATCTGTAAGAAAAAAATAGCATATGAATAATAAAACTACACAGGTGATGGGTGGTTAGCTACACTTATTGTGAGCATCAAGTCATTATATTGTACACCTAATAGTCAATTATAGCTCAATTTAAAAAAACTTAAATAGGTAATTAACCACCCATAACATACAACACAGCAGGAAAAAGACAAGCTGAGAAATAGCTGTACAAACATCCTTACCAGGACAGGTAAAATTTGGGGGGCTTTCCACAGTGTGCATAATCCTGAGTCTTGCCTAGAATGTTCTTCACCCCTGACAAAATAATATGCCTATTCTCTCTGCATAGGTCTCCTAATTCACCAGTAGTCCCTTGCTTATCCTCCACTTTCACTGAGAGTATTTATGCTACTACATACCTCCAGTTACCTATGGAAGGAAATCACCATATTCATTCATTCAACCACTAATTATTTAGCACTTGCTATGTGCAGGCAATTAGGGAAACAGTGAATAACACAGACATGATTCCTATCCCCAAGGAGCTTCTGCAGGGGATTAGGTCATTAAAAATTATTCACACAAGTAAACATTCAATTGCAATGTCAATAAGGGCTTCATTTGAGAAGCAGAATATGAAATGCTAACATAGAAGAGGAATTCCTGCAAGTCTGAAGGGATCAGAGAAGGCCACCCCTTAGGACAAGAGAGATGTTTGACCTGAGATCTAAAGGAAAAAAGGGAGTTCAAAAAAGAAAAAATACTGCAGACCAGCAGTTCTCAAAGTGTGGTCCCCAGACCAGCTGCATCAGCATCATCTGGAAACTGTTAGAAATGAAAATTCCCAGCACTACTCCAGACCTCCTGAATCAGAACCTCTGGGTGTGCAGCTCAAAGACCTGTGCTTTTCACACAGAATCCAGGTGATTCTGATGACCATTAAAGTTCAAGGACCATGACTCTACTTAAAGGAAAGAGCATAAATGAAGGTCATGAGATGGGGAGGAAGGGAACCTTGGCCTGTTCTAGTATCAAAAAAGTCAAGGAAGTCAGAGTAGAGGGATCAAAAGGACAATGGCTTGAGATGAGGTTAAGGAATTTATAATTTCATCTTAAGTAAAACAGAAAGTCACGGAGAGTGTTGGGCAGAAGAATGTCAAGGTTACATTTTGTTTTATCCACCAATAGTGCACAAAGATTCCACATCCTTGTCAGCACTTGCTATTTTCTGTTTTTTTTACAATAGTCATCCTAATGGATGTGAAATGGTTATCACATTATAGTTTTGCTTTGCATGTCCTTAAACAATTAGTGATGTTTAGTCTCTTCCCATGTGCTTATTGGCCATTTGTGCACATTTCTTTGGAGAAACATCCATTCAAGAATTTTGCTCATTTTTAATAAAGTTGTTTGGGTTTTTGTTGCTGAGTTTTAGGAGTTGTCTAATACCTAAAAGAGTTGAAATAGGGTCTCAAAGAGATATTTGTACACTTATGTTCACAGCAGCATTATTCACAATACCTAAAATGGGCGGCAACCCAAGTGTTCATCAACAGATGAATGGATAAACAAAATGTAGCACATGCACACAATTGAATATCATTCAGCCTTAAAAAGGAAATGCTGACATATACCATAAAATGGATGAATCTTCAAACTCTACTAAGTGAAATAAGACAGTCACAAAAAAGACAAAATATGTCATGTATAGCACAGTCAAATTTATAGCAACAGAAAGTAGAATGGCGGTTGCCAGGGCCTGGAGGAAGGAACGAATGGGGAGTCACCGTTTAATGGGTACAGTTTCAGTTTTACAAGATGAAGAGAGCTCTGGAGATGGTAATGATGGCTGTACAACATCACGAATGTATTTGATACCACTGAACTGTACATTTAAAAATGGTTAAGGTGGTAAATTTTATGTCGTTGTTGTTGTTGTTAACTGCAATAAAAAATGGGGGAAAAAGAGATCTTAACTGTTCTGTGAAGATGGCTTAGGAGGCAATCATGAATGGATGTGGAAAAACTTGTTAAAAAGTTGTTGTACTGCCTGCAGTGAGAGGTGATGGTGGCTTTGACCAGGAAGGGGGCGATGCAGATAATACAAATGGACTAATTTGAAAGGCACACAAAGGTAATACCTACCCATAAAACATGATTTACACAGGCGGTGAAGAGTGAAGTATCAAAATGTGCAAAGGCTCAAGTGTGTCATCCTTCGCTACGCCCATGTGTGTCTTTATCTCTGCTATGTCTTAATCCCTCTTGTACTTGCAGCCCATGTGCAAAGTAAAGATACATAAATATGGGTCAAGCTAAAAATCCTCTGAGTTCACCTCCAGCACAATTTCTCACGAAAAACCAACTAGCCAACCTGTGACCTTTAGGCAGTGATATACACTTTACTGCAGTAATTTCTAGAAGCCCTCTTTCTCACCTTTCTGGATATACCTCATGTGAAACTGTCTTATAAAATGGCTGAGTTCCAAGCACGGTTACTGGAGAAGTTCCTCACCTAGCCATCTATAAACCCTGGCTAGTTAAAAAATTCCCTGGACATATATAATATGTTATTGGCTGAACAGAATGGATACATATATGGAAAAAGATGACAACTGATGAAATCTGAAAAAAAAAGAAGAGCAAATATATTGCCTCTAAATATCAAAATGAATGGAAATTACATTGCACAAGAAAAAGGCAGGCAGCACTTTCCCTCTAGTTGACTTTGAGCAATGCTGTCAGGAACCTGCTTGGAATCCCGGCTCTACCCTGGAAGAACAAGAGTTCACTGCAGCTGCTCCCTAGGCCCTGCTACCAATGAGCAATCTGAAGTTCAGGAAAGTGGAGAGTTTGGGCTGCCCTGGGACAGGCCCAAAAAAGTCTAGTGGAAAAATCAACATGCTTCCAGGAAAGTTGACAAAATGATGGAAAATCCCAGATTGTTAGAAGGGAAAAATGGGGGGAGGGAATAAAATGTTGATTACATAACATTCAGCCCTCCAAACAATGGAGTAATGATCAAATGAATCACTAAGAAAGACATGAATGCTCCCGCCCCATTCCCCCTCTACATGCTCAAGAACCCAGAAGTGGCAGGCCCAGAAATGCCTCTAGTTAGAGTAGAAGTCAGTTTTACCCCAGAGAAAGAGACCGTATTTAACAGGAGAGAACTGCTTCTGAAACAAGTGATCAGGACAGCATCCCAGTTCCCTGCACAGGAAGGACCAGGGGGACCAATCAGCGAATGTTTAGTGAATTAAATGTTTTCCAAATTTGAATCAACTTGCTTTCCCTTCACTCTCATCCAACATAAATTCATGAACTTGCACTGTGTGGGTTTTGTTTTGTGTGTTTGTTCCCTTCATTAGATTTATGACTCGATGAAAAGGACTTTACTGATGGCGGAATTGGCCAGGACAACACATGTGGAAACTACAGGCCAGGCCAAATGGACGAGCAGTGGTTCTGCTACAAACTGGAACTGAAGGAGACCAGCCAGGAGGCTCCAGGAATCTTCTGAACTGAAAAGCATGGGCAGTCTTCTACCACCAAGGTGACATGGAGGCCAAGGGCGACAGCAAAAAGCCTGAGAAAGAAGTTTCCCAGAGTCAGCTTGCTACAGCTCCACATATGCGAGCGTGGTTTGGACAGGACCACTGGGCTGACAACACTCTGTGCTCATTTCTGCTTCCTGTCAGGGGCCAGCATTTCCAGGTTCTCACTAGTTCTCTCCAAAGGAAGATGCTGGAATGACTGTCCGTCCACCTCAAAGCCATCACCCAAAGCCCATCCATGGGCAGCTGCACCTGCCTCTGCCTGTCTGAGGACCCAAAGGACTGGACTTGTAGAAAAAGTGCTCACAGCCCAGCTGGTGAAAGCAAATCCCACTCACTTAGGATACCTGTATTTGGACTTGATGAGCTCAGGAGAAGGTCTATCACTGCCATGGACACAAAGGAGTCAGACAAGAAAGTCAGAGCATATCCGTTTATGAAATGTGTGATTTTGGTTTAAAAAAAAAATCAAACCTCCTCTAAAAGTAAGTGAGCAATTAGCCAGGCTATCTTTTTAAGTAACACAGGCAATGCATTTAAATGACTGAATAATCACATTCAAAAGTGGATGTTAATTTAAAATATTAAACTTTTTCATGTAAAATATGAATGCAAAAATTTCCTCTGTGTTGCTGGTTTATGACTGTAGCAGTGTGTTAGTCACACTGATCGACAACAGTAATGAAATCATTACACAGGTGGAGAATCTGATGTGCTTTGGCCAAAACAGGCATTCTCTGTTTTTCTTACCATACTTTATCTCTATTGCCTTTTGAATTAAGTACCAAATATTTCTAATTTTAGGAACAGCATGCAAAAATTAACCAATGCTTCCATAGGCGTTAATTAAGTGTATTTTATGGACAAGTATTAAAATTGTCTTTATGTTAATCATTAGAATTTCAGTATCTTATATTCAAATAAAACATTTGTCTCAATGCTGAGAATCTGATCTGGAGATACACTATGCCAATACAGTGGAGACTGTAAACACAGTGCACTAGAAACTGAAAACATAAATATCTTACAAGTATATCAGATCCATACAAGTATACCCCTGATTATTCCTCAGGACCTTCAATCTGAGTTAATATTTGTAAGGCTCACCCTAAGTTTCTGAGAAGAGAGTTGTGCGGAGAATAAATTACCAAATTCTGTCTTACCAAGATTGCCCAGGACAGAGGCAGAAATGAGCAGGTAGCTTCAGTAGGGGCATAAAGAGCCAGTGGCATTCAATACAGGGAAACATCTGCTCATTTTCATTGTGGCCTAATCCTGAACAAAAGCTTAGACACACCCCACAGACATTTTAAGTCAAATGTAGGACAAAGGTTTTGATTCCCTTACATGTAACTCACAGTTAAGGGCTGTTCAATGTCCAAGATCCCATTGAGGCCATTTCATGGGACCTTTCACAGCATTCTTTCAAACTGTCCGAAACCCAATGGCTCAAATCAGCAATGCTGCATAGAATA